CTTGCATTCTATTTCACTTTCCTCATTGGTGATAATGTTGCTGTGATCCTCACTGCGTTTATCTTTGGCTCACTGAACTGGATTATACCCTCATACTTTTGTTCCTAGGACACTGAGCTATATTGAGTTCTCAGTTTCTTCTTGTTCTTTCAGCAATTCAGCACTCTATTTCCCATTTCTTTATGATCCCCTAGTCCTCTAGTCACCAAGTTCATTCTCCTTAAGGGCAGTCTAGAAGATAATCTGTGTGTTGTGTCTCACACTAGTTAGAGCCCCAAGCCAATCTCAGTCACTTTGCCTCTCTATCCTCGTTAGGACCAGACCTGGATGGTACGAAGTGGCCTCTCTTCCAGGAGTGCCCTGTTTCTGGATTTTAGCCCTCAGCCTCAGCATGTCTTATCAGTGTATTTTTCCTAAGTCCGCTCTGACCTCCAGACAGGCCCAGGCATGCCTGAATTCTTGGGTTCATATGAGTTAGGCCCTTGTTCATGGACTTTTGTCACCTACTTTTTTTCGTGCCTTTTCTCATATATTTTCACTTCAATAATCCTCTGTCGGATATTCTTAACACTCTGAAACCCAGCTTTTAACACTCTAAATGCCCCCACCTTTACCCATCCAACTCCCAACCAATATGGTATCCCCATTTTTCTGTCTTTTGTGACTAGTGTTTCTATACTATTTTCTTTTCCTAGGATGCAATTCCCTATCATTAGGTTAAATGAGATCATATACATCCCTATAATGAGGTGCGCCAGGCTGCTGCTCCTACAAGCACTACTGCTTCTTAACCAGATGGCATTGTTGAGGTATTCCCACCTTTGCTGGTGAGCAAGGCAATCTTTTGATAGCAGAGGAAGAAAATATTGAGCTACTATTTTCATTTATGTTTCACCTAAAGTGAAGTAAACAGTAAACTACATAGTCTCTACTCTGTGTCTTGACATTGTTGCCTTTGGTTTGAATGACAAAAGTACCTTATCACACATGGTCCATGAGGGATCCTGAAGGAAAGGAGTACTGAAAGCTTGACAGTCAGTTGGTCACTTGTCAGCATAGTAACTCATGTTGTCCATTTTCTGGAAGGGGAGAGAACTAAGGGGATGATTGAAGAGCAGGCTTTTACCAGTAGAAAATAACTTCTTAAAAAATATAATCAGGGTCATTACCAAACTTTACAGAAAATGCTCACTTTAAAGGGAATTGAGAGCAAAGATACTTCCTTCTCCTATGGCTCAATCAAATTCTGGCCTAAAGATAATGGAAGAAATAAGAACTAATGGGGATGATGGTGTCTCTAAGTTATTTCCTCTTCTCAGTTAGTACCACTCTTTTATCAGCAAGCAAGGCTTTCAGGAAAGAGATCATGCACTAATTATCATCAGCTGCACACACAATCTGCAGACTTTTCTGAAGTCACACTTTTCCTGGACACAACTGAGATACTGCAAAAATGAACCAAATAGTTACTTTCCATCTGCCCCAAAAAGACCCTTGTGCAGCATCTTATTCTTCATCAGCTCTTATAGAACAGCCAAATTATCAATGGACCGCTAAATAATTGGCTTTAATTTTTATTGTTTCTGATTGTTCTCAGGGAGAAACATTAATTACAGGATATACAATCTATTTTGATAGCTTTGTTGGGTTGGCCGAAATACAACTTTTTATAATATTGTGCATGTATTAAGTTTTAAAAATGTAATATTGCCTTCAAGATACCTCTACATTTTTGTTAATGGAGAAATATCTTTTAATGATAATCAATCAATAATCAATTATCATATTTTGAAATTTGTTATGTGGAAAGAACTTTGTTGTTAATATTAAGAACCTTGAAGCTAAGGGCTTTACATAATTTTCTTTCTTTACAACATTGTATGTGCACATGATTGATGTTCAATAAGTTTCTTAGATAAATGAATGATTCAATCTATAAATGAAAGATTGAATTTAAAATAAGTATCAAAGACATGGTTTTTGTCCCTAGGAATCTTAAAATATAGGTGAGAAGACAATACACCATCTAGTAGAAACATTAACATGGAATAGTAAACGTCAAACAGGTGGTACAGAGAAGTTCTAATGAACTCCAGCAGTGAAAAGTCCTCCTGGCGGAAGTTGAATTTAAACTGCATATTGAAAAATTAGTAGGATTTCAATAACTGGAGAAGTTGTTAGGGTATTTCTAGCATGGTAGCTATAGTAGTAAAGGCCTAGAAATAGAGTTACATTAGCATGCTCTGGGCATAGTAAAAGGATTAGTTTAGCAGAGGAAGCAAGCCTAGAATATCAAAGGAAGGGGTTTAGACTTTATCCTGTAGATAGTGTTGAACTATATACAGTTATAGAATTTATTCAGTCATCAAATACAGACTCCAGGGGAGATGCTAGAGACACAAGTTAAGAATAGACATAGACACAAATAAGAGCCACAAAAGCCAAAGGTGCTATGATGAATGTGTAAATTAGAGTATGGTAGTTGATTCTGCCTATGTTGGCTTAGCATAACTTTTTATGATATCATTCATGTATTAAGTTTTAAAAACATAATAGTTTTGATAGGTCTTTATTCCTATCACTAACTTGCTAGGAATACCCTAACATCTTCTCCAGTTATTGAAATCCTACTCATTTTTCAATATACAGTTTAAATTTAACTTCTCCCAGGCCTTTTCACTGCTGGAGTTCATTGGAACTTATCTGTACCACTTGTTTGACAGGGCTGCTTAGCCCAAGCACTGTCTTTCACGTCAGACATTTTCTATTGTACTCAGATAGAGAAAGAAAACAATGGCTGCATAAAGAAAGGTCCTAGATGCTCAGCCCCAGGAGCCGTCTCCAGACAATTCATCTCATTGTCCAATGTTTTCTCATGAGAGCTGAAATCCTACTCAACAAAATGGCCATTAGACAGCCTCCAGCAACACAAATTACTAATGTTTTCCAAGGGCTCCAAGTCCGTCATGAGTCATGTAGCAAATTTCTAAATTATTTTTAAGTTCTTTAAAAATCACAGGGCAAAGTCATCATATTCCTTAATGTTTAACACATAGGACATTAATATTGTCTTTCCTTTGATTAAAACATACGATAGAAAATAACTAAGATTTCTTTATATTTTAGTGACTGTGAAAATGAAAATTAAGGACACATGTAGAATTTTTTCATCATTTTTACCCCCTTCAGGGAGTAGCAAGAGCTAATAAGTAACCAATTTAATATTTGGCAATGTAAAGAATTATCATAACATTTTAAATATGGATTATGGAGACACACTTTTTTTCGTATATCTGTAACCACAGTCTTTTAGTTTTCAAGTAAGAAGAGACTAAGTTTGGCTAGGTTTGCAGAGGAGGCACCTTAGCACTCACTAGAAATTAAACTTTCTTTAAAAGTGGACTTAAAGAAAACAAATCTATTCAGCATTGTAATGTAGAGATGGGAGTTTTGCTTCTGCCAAGATAACTTGATAATCTTTCCCTGTTGAGCTCTTCAATCTTGCAGCTTGGTGGACTAGAAGAGTGTTGTGAACTTGGAGAGCAGTCATTATAGAAACACCAAAGCACAATAGGATTTGGCATTAGTGACTCTGGTAGCTTAAACAGATGAAAACTGAGGAGCATGTCTTCTCACAAGGCAAAAGGAGGCAAGGCGGCTTTCATTTTCCAGTGAGATTTGGTGTTGGTAAGCAAGTGTAAAGTCAGGGTCCTTGCCTTGCTCCAGGTGGTTCAGGGTGATCACTCTTAAATGCCTCCCTTAATCGAAGTCCTCCATTGAGGACCATATAAGCAGGTCCTATTTGGGGTAGACCTTGTCTAAGAATCAGATTTACATCAGCATTATCTACTTGCAGGTGGTTTTATCTAACCTTTTCTTAGCTTTTCAGCATTTCCCCTGCCCAGACCTCAGATATCTTTCTTTCTAATAACCTATGACTGATCACCCTAGATCCCTGCCTTTCTTCCTTGCTCTGATCTCTGGTAACACCATATGCTGTACGTCTTTTACCTTGACCACCTGAGCTTCTGACATCTGGCTGGTGCTTGCATTAAGCCAGGAGTACACTCCATACAGTTTTCAGTCCTGACCTTAACTTAGATTTCCTTGCTGAACTGCCATTTTCAGACACCTCACTACTGTAAGACCTCATTAGGGAGGTTTATGGAGTCACTTCCTTGGGAAGTTTTCATAAGAAAGGCTGAATAAACTTGCTTAGATATATGAGTCTGGCCTTGGACTCAAATGCATCCTAATAATTCTATGGTCCTTACCAGCATTGTTGTTGCAAACCGCATAGTGCCATGCTAGAAAGGAAGGATTTCTATGGGTTACAAAAAATTTCTGACAACCTCCTCTCAGGTTCAATTCTAGGTCCCACTCACATGAGATGTGTCCTGCATGTGTAGATGCAAGTCTCAGAAACATTAAAAGAAATGTAGAATTATGATAATATAAACCAAAGCAAGAACAAAAATGAAGAACTTTTATTTTTCTCAAACCATTAAGTATTTCTAGTAACAAATCTAAACTGACATTCTGTATCTATTTTTTTCACTTTTAGAGAGATTTGTGACCACCTGAAAACACTTTTATTTAAACTGTTATATCTTGCTTTTTGTTCAAGGGAATGAAAAACAGTCAGGCCTGTCTGAATTAAGCCTCTCCATATACCTAGCTGTGAAGCCTTTCACAGATTGAATCTGTGGCCCTGGAAGATGCAAGACGAGGGCATGTGTTAAAAGCACAGGACAAGATGAATGAATGTCTGGCATCAAAGAGTTTGGATAGGATGAGGCCCTGGCTAGGCTGCCCCATATCAACCCATTGTGAGATGTGCAGGACCCCTCAGAGGTGAGGTGAGGCAGGTAGTGGGATTCAACTAAAGGAAGCCCTTCTTTCTCCTGGTATGTTGGTTTAACAAGCAAGGCTGCTGGGCCCAGGCCCTTCCTTTCATGTCTTTTCATGTTGAACATTTCCATTGTGCCCAGATAAAGAAAACAACGGCTGTATGAGGAAGCATCCCAGCTACTCAACACTGGGAGCCATCACCAGGCAATTCATCTCACTCCCAACTGTCCACTGTTTTCCCACAAGAGCTGAAACTGTACCCGACGCACTGACCACCAGACAGCCAGAGCTGAGCAGCTTGAATTCCACTAGTCTTTACAGGAATCCTGACGCAAAAATGCACCTCAATAGGTAAGAAGTTAAAAGAACACAAACAAACAGGGGAAATAAACTGGGAGATAAAACATTCTTGAGCTCCGGGGAACTCAAAAAGGGTATTTGGAGCACAATTCATACTTGGGCCAGCCAGCTCTGTTCATGCTGATAAGTCATTTTGAGAAAAACAAATGAATTCATATCTGATAAACCAGCACATTGATAATACCAAATTCCTTTTGCCTTTCTAAGGCTCTGTCAGGGAGGGGGGATAGATAAGTTCTTGCTGTACAAGGGCTGAGGGAGGTAAGATTTACTGTAGGTGCCACACAATGAAATATTTCTCAGTTTAATCAGTTTCACAGAAATTGTACTGATAAATGTCCCTTCCTCCCAAATAATTAAGACATGCCTTCATATCACCATACCTGCTATTAGAATGGCAGTCGATAAAATCTGTTTCAAGAGTGTCCACTGTTCTACTTGCAAATAAGAACAGCTGAGTGGATCCCAGGAGAGTTTTTATGATTTATTAAAATGTTTTTGAGGGGTAGTTGGGGGTAGTTCAGGTGCCTTCTGAATGATACTGCCTATTATACACATATACACATGTACATACATAATAAAAGTTATTCTCCTTGTAATCAGCCTCAGACATATAGTAACACAGTTATCTCAGAGAAAAACAGGGTAAATAAATTAGGGACTAGGGGTGGATTTTGAATTGCTAGGTTATAGAGAAACTTCTGAATTCTCCATCTGGATATAGCACTGACTGACACTTGCTTATTCTTTGCGATGTTAAATGCAGAAACAAAAAGTTAAAAAATGCCTGAATAATCCAGTGGGCAAATTGAGGATTAGTTTATACAAAAGGTGATATTTTAGCTGGATCATGAAGGATGGATAGGAAATAGGCAGGTGAAAGTTCATTTCCCAATACACCTGCCACAGTGTAGGCATGCTTAAACATTCATTCATTTGTTCATTCACCAGAATAACCCACATAAGTGCTAGGGATATAATTAATAAGATGGACTTGGTTGTCTTCAATCACACAAAATAATGTAGTTGTTTAAGCACTACAGATAGGTAAAAAGACAATTATAATATAACTGATAAAAACTAAAAAGGGCTTAAAAAGAGGGGTGCAGTGTTTTAGCAACACATAGTAGAAGGACAAGGAAGATTAGGCTCTTTCTTGCACTCTGCCCCTCCTTGGAGCTTCCTGGATGAAAGGCAGAGTCAGTATTCTCTTGTTATTGTTTCTCACAGTAATTAATCAACTTACTTCTTGGAGTCCATTGGGAGAATTGTCTGATATAATTTTGATCAAAATAATCAGAATCAAGGCTAAATATGTCCTCCTGCTTTACTTCCTTAAGTCCAAATTAATGGGTCTTTCTTAAAATATAGATTAGATTTTGTTTTCCACCACCAAGTACAGGCCTTGGCCTATAGCTCCCCTAATTTCTCCTGGCTCAATGCTGTGGATTCTAAGATAGTTCTCAGAGTCCCAGAAAATGTCATGGTACAAACTGGGATGTAGATGTCTCCCTTCTCTTCCCTGAAGCCACTCCACCTCACACTGTAGGGGCAGATGTCTCTCTGGGCCTCAGATTCCCTCACTTTTAAATAAATTTAGACTACATTCAAACTAAATTTAGACTAAACTCTTATATTCATAATTTCCTTTTTGGTTTGTTAGGAGATGAGTCTTTGAAATCAATGGTGCTTTTGAATCATTAGAGGGCAGACTTCCCTTAGAGTAGGAAATGAAGGAGAGTTTTGAGAAATTCAAGTATTTGATATAAAGCATTGGATTCTTCTCTTGATAAGTAGTGTCAGAGAGGGGAGGAATGGAGAGCAGTGGCGATAATGAAGGAATTACCTAGAGCAAATATTCATTGTTAATTAAATGCTTAGTGTACAGCAGAGTGTGTCACACTACAGGTCCTATTAGTAAGTCATGAATCAGCTTATTGCATCATAAATACCATTAAAAAATAAGATAGAACAAAACAGAAAACAATGCATTCTGTGTAGTGAGAAGAAATACTGTTTCATGAAATTTTGTTTCACGTATGTGTGCATAGAAATGTGTACAGAATCACAATGTAGATCTTATTTCTAATTGTATGTGGAGGTCAAACATTTTGAGAAATATTGGTTTAAGGGACAAAATATTACTTTTAGGGTTAAATGTTTAAAATATTTATACATGGACATATAAATTATAGTTTAATATCTGGTTGAAGCAAGGCAACACTCACACAGAAACCAGAGTAATAAGTATTACAGACCTAATAATCTTGAAGAAATAGAATGTATTCCATTTTATCCACAGATACCAACATCTTTTGTTTTAGAATTTGAAGCACTTTTCCTCTTTTTTAAGTTTTTTTAAAAAAATGTTTATATACCGATTATTGGCTATATATTTATACCTGCATCCAGGTCCCAATTCTACCATTTTCTATCTGTGTGACTTTGGGAAAATTATTCAGCCTCTTTTGGCTAATTTGCCTTCTCTTTAAAATTAGGATAAATGTACTTTGCACGCAGTGTTGTTTTCACTATATCAGCTAATGTATGTCAAGTATTTAGCCCAGTACATGATAGTTCTCATGGTTAAAACAGAATTAAACAGTTTTCTTTTCTTCTTAATTTTGGAAGCCAAAGTGCAGAACAAGCCATGAGATGGCTGATAAGCCAACATGGAGATTCATCTCTGAGCAGATTGCATCTTTGTCCTCATTTACCTCTTAGAACCTACATATTAGGTAAGAACAATAAATTCCATGGGTAGCAAAGAATAAAAGTTGATCTCGGCTCATATTCATGTCCTTCAAACTGTCACTTCAATCTGGCTAAGAGCTGTATCATTTCTGGGATGTTTTCCAGCTGAAAAACTAAAGAACACAATGTCTCTGTTTAAGGTGAATAAGTTGGCTTCTGATGGGAAAACTCACTGCCCCGAATGGCATCCCTCTTTTCACCGCTGCTTCAGGTCATGAAGCACAGCATAAAATGACATATTTACATGTGGTAGCTTTTACAGTGTCCATGACAGAAGAATTCCATACAGGTTATACAGTTGTTTTTTAATGAGTATCCTATGACATTTTTGAAACATGAAACAACTTTTATCTTGAAGGTCATTTTGTGCACTCTTTATGGTCAATAATATCAGGGAAACTAGACTTGGAATTTCCAGAGATTGAGCCCACGGTCCACAAAGTTACATGTGCTGGTGGATAGCTTGATGGTTTGTCTAAAATATATGACAGAATTATGCAGTTTTTGAGTTGTGAGACATTATAGAGATCATCTAGAACAAACTCTTTATTTTACAGGTGAGGAGACAAAGCCCAGAGATATTAAATTTATCTGCTCAATGTTGTCACATAGTTAGTGTGTGGCTCAAGACCTGAAATCAGACATCCTGTCTCCAAGCCCAGTACTCTTTCCACTGCATTCTAGATTCCCAACAATGAGTATAAAGTAAAGGCAGTCCTTGTAGTTCAAGGTCATGGCAGAACTATTTAGAGTCGCCTTCACAAAGCAGGCTGGCTAATTCTCAGTCAACCTGGCCACAGGACAGAATTTCCAAGAGAGGGAGGAAACTGGAAAAAAAAAGGACTGATTCCCTTTCTGAAGGGCATTTTATTTCAAAAGCTTGGTGAATATTGATGACTTTTAACCCAGTGATCCTATCCTAGAAATTAATCCTGAAGAAAGAATATGGATCAGGGCAAAGATTAAGCTACAAAGATGGCATGGTATTGTTTTTTAATAATAACATCTTGGATCCAAGGGGGGGGCACTGTTTAAATAAATGATGATATATATTTACATATATATATTAAAACCATAAAAATGGTGTTTTAGAAAATAACATCTAATAACCTGGGGGAAAAGTTCTTGATGTATTATTGCTCAGGAAAAGCACCTTACAGAGAGCAGTGTATATAGAACAACTCTAATTTTGTAACAAAAGTCTATATACTTATGTTTGTTTAAAATAAGGATTCAGATTAAATATTTCAACATATCAAGAGTGGGTGGTAAAATAACTGGGTCATTAATATTTTTGCCTTTGGGTTTTGCTGTATTATCCAAAATTTTGCACACAAATATACATTATTTTTGTGATGAGACAAAAATATCATTTAAAGTTAAATTCTGATTTCTTCCTTTGCTCTGCTGCTGGAGTAGTCCCAACAAGCTGAAGATGTAGGGTAGCCCTCTAGACCTTAAGTGTGGGTGCAGTGTTGAGAACAGGAGAGGATCATGCTCTGAAGATTTATTACATGTCATATTTTCAGTCCTTTGGGTCAATTATAAACTTCATCAAGAACAAGACTAAAAAAATGTTTTCTTCTAGACTACAATCTATTCCCACTCTCCATTGATCATATAAAATTAGAGAAAAGCAAAATAAAACATGTTACAGTAAAATTATTGCTGGCAATATAAGAATTACTTACTGTATGTGAAAAGCATATGAACTTCTATATAGGACTTCAAGTTATAAAGTCATGTCATGTAAACCTAAAACTAACCCAGTAATGTTATTACATCTATCTTGCTAGTATGTTGCAAATTATTTAAATAAAACAAATTGATAGATGGCACTTTTCAACTGGAGGTGTTACCATTCAAGAACATTTTGAGGGCTTATTATCAACTCTAGCACAGGTGTGGATGATTTCTATTTAAATCATAACACACATATATCTTAGTTTAGTAATTTGAAAATTATAGGCCAGAAATAAATTTGAAACAAAAACGCATTACTACATTATAGGGTCAATCAAATAAACTACAGCAAACAATTTAGGTAATAACGAAACCAGACCAAGAGTAATTTGTCACTGAAAAACAAGAATGACAGCCATTAAAAACAGTATCCAAACAAAACAAAAATGATGAGGCACTGATTTGAAAGTCACTTTATGAAAAATTATGAAATTCCAGATATTGGCACGTACACTTATGTTATTGGGCCTGGGCAGTGCTGCCATGAACCTCGATTTTTTAAATAGAATATGAGATTAGAGTCTTCAGTAAAATCCAATAATAGGCTTTTCTTGGTTTATGATTGTGGAGTCTGTGTAACTTGTAATAATTTACTTAGCTGATTGGCTCTAGGTAAAATAGAAATCTATGGCCTTGCACTGCCACCTGCCTGTCACCTACCTGTAAGATTGTAGGAAAGGACACTCATTTTAGAATCAGCAATCTGTCTGAGGCTCACAGATGTCCCAGGTTTAGGAAAGTCTTGATCCATGTAATGTGAGGAAACGGTAAGAATCCGATGCATTGGTTCACCCAGGGACCAGAGGGAAGGCTAAGAGACTTCTTCTGAAGAGTGTGCAGAATTCCAGAAAGTTTTTCTTCATTTTCTTTTTGTTCTATTTTCTTTTTCTATCTTCTTCTCCCTTAAGGAGTGACAGAAATAGAAGGTTGGTTATGGGAGGACATGCCATGGTAGTGGGTTTTTTTTTTTTTTCCTGGTGATTTTTCATTTTTTTGATTCCTTAACAAGCCATCTTTCATCTCTGAGGAATAACTTCCTTTTTCAATTGCTGCACATCCCTATTCCACAGAAATAATGGGAGAGCTCGAGAATTTTGCAAACAAAGAGAAAATGTTGAAACCTCTTTAATAGCCACCATCCTCAGGGAATTAGAGATTATGAGGAAATTCCTAACTAGGCCCAAGAAGAAAACCTAGGAATCCTAACCACTAGACAGGCACTGTGATTCCTGGGCCTTTGGAGAGTTTAAGAATTAGCTGTGATTTATGTAATAGGGTGGAGGATATTAATTTCAACATCTGAGAGGGCTTTTTGCACAACCCCCTCCTTTTAAAAATGGTTTGGCTTGTCAGATGTCATCTGGCCCTGACAATTTACATGTCTCCCTCTGGGAAGGGGATCATAACAGTAGCAGAGGTCTGGAGGCCTCATGATCTTGTGAGACGACAATGGGCCGAGGCACCAGCTGTGTGTTTGTTGCATGGCCAGGCTCTGAGGCTAATTAGGGCTACCAGACTTGAGGGCGCCCCTGGTTGCTCCTGCCTTCAGCAGGGGTTTACAACTGCTGAGGCTGTCTGGTCAGGATGAGTCAGGCCTTGAAACCCTTGGACATCCATGAAGTTTGTCTTCTGAGCCCCTCCCTCCTGCTGTCTTTTCTACTTTTTGCAGCCTCTTTGCACTTCTCATGATATTTTGACTCCATTTCTACCCCAACTCACTCTCAGAAAAGGTTCTGATTTTCTCCTGACATTTGAGTATAGACTTAGGTCGACCACTACTTTTCTGAATGAAATTGTCATTCTCATGTTTTTTTTTTTTTCCAATGGTACAGAGATCATGTCTCCTGATCTGACAGAGTTGGAGTACTATTTTGAGGACTGGGGGGATTTCCTAGATTCCTTTAAATCACAGAAGTGTCGCTCCTTCCTCAAATAAGGTTTTGCTCCACGAATATGGTAGGAAGGTGTGAATTCAAGCCAAAAATCATTACCGACCACCTCCATCTCTCTATGGAAGGACTTTCAACAGAACTCAGATTTGTTACCCCGGGGAAGAAATTGGGTCATTCAGAAGTGCCTCGGTCATGTCTTTACTTACATTGTCCTGACTATAGGGAAGTACCCGGGCAAGTGACTTAAATTGGCTGTGCCTCAGTTTTCCACATTTACAAAATGAGTATAATCAAAATAGTACTATCTTTAAGGTAAATTAAATATAACTGTATGTGTAAAAAGGCATTTGCAGGAGTGCTTGCCACACAGAAATCACTTCCAGGCCCAGTGACTGCTCACCTCTGAGGCCTGAGGAGTAAAGAATTGAAACCTAACTTTGGAATAGTACCTGTAGGTGAAGCTCTTGTTTGTGTTTGTTTGTTTCTAAACTGAAAGAATAAAAATCAAGTAGCAGGCCTCCTTTACTCACCTTGGGCATATTGAGATCCTCATGGCAGGGGCTTATCTCTAGGAATCCCATTTGATCTTGAAGTGGTTCTCCTAGGCCAGTAGAGCATGTGTGCCCTAGGCTGCATTTCCTTCCCTCGATCTCTCTTCTAAAGGAATTATTTACTTGTCTGGCTTGGTTTCTTATGTACTTTCATCTATTAATTTTGGTTTGTGTCTCACGTCAACCACTGTCCCAAACCAAGAACCAAAAATCTTTCTCAGTACACAATACTTAAAAAGGAAAGGAAAAGAAATGAAGATAAATGAGAGGAAAAAGCTTGACATGTTCAATTGGCTACCAAAAAATTAATCCACAAAATCCTAATAAACTAGCATACATTTTGGTCACTTTCGCTGATGGATGTCACAGTACAGATTACACATGAATATTACAGTTATGCGTTTTGGCGTCTATCATACTAAATTCAGCACCTTAAAGTTTCCAGTGTCCTTGGTCTATCTCTAAAGCCAACACGGGAAGTCCCAGGTATATGTTACCTTCTTAGCCAGTTACTTACTTAAACTTTGGTTACTGAGATGTGTCAGGGAGGGCTGAGATGAGGGTTTCATTCTAGGGATGTACACACTAATAGGAGAGACAGAATCACATGACATCCAAGAAAACAGGCCAGGCATCTTTGTGCCTTCTGGAGCCCAGGACAGCATGAATAGCTAGCTGTGTAGCTAGCTCTGATTCTGTCATTGACATGGCTGTTTCTCTGTCCATCTCTGTCTTATTCAGTGCAGGCTGCTGTAACAAAATACCATAGACTATGTGGCTTATAAACAACAGAATTTATTTTTCACAATTCTGAAGCTAGGAAGTCCAAGATCAATGTGCTGACAGATCCTGTGTCTGATGAGGCCTGCTTCCAAGCTTCAGACTGCCAACTTCTTTTTGTATCCTCACATGGTGGAAAGAGAGCTAGCTCACTCTCTGGCCTCTTTTTATAAGGGCACTGATCCTATTCATGAGGGCTCCATCCTCATGATCTAATTAATTTCCAAATGTTCTACTTCCAGATACTATCTCATTGGGATTAGGTTTTCAACATATTAATTTTGGGGGACACAGTCATTTGGTCCATTGCAGTGTCTCTCTGAGACATCAACTTCTAATGCTATCAACACCGTTCCATACCCTCTACTTCCACTATCCTAACAAACAGTACACAAGTGGACTACCTAGGGGCTGTGCATGGAGAAGGACTGACATCTCTCCTCCATAGTCTCAGCAGCAACCCCTAGAGCATGGCAGCAGCTCCAGCATTCTTTTTAGTCGCTTTATCCTGTGCTTAAAGAGGATGAGAACGAGTCAACAGCACCCCTTACCAACAGAGTCCCAAAGGGGCCTTTTCCCACATGCCTGTGCCACTGGATCAAGTAGCATTAGAGTTAGAATTTGGAACAAGGTTATTTTTATTGTGACAAACTATCAACAGACATGACAATACCCAGGACATGGAAAGTTACATTTCTAAGAACAGCTAGCCAATATTCCCAATTCTGTGACCCTGTCCCACTCCATCTGTGGCTATAGCCTTCTCTCCTTTCCCCAATAAATCACTCAGCAACTTCACATCATTACTAGTGAGAAAAGGACAAGAATGTGTACGCCAAGAGAAAGGAAATCTCATAAGGCACAAATCAGAGCTGCCTTAGTCACCTGGATGGAATGCTCTATTTTTGTTGTTTTGTTTTATCTCAGGCCTTTTGGTTTAGAGTTGCCTCCATTCTACAAGATGGAGAGAGAAGAAAGCAATAAGCAATCCACAAGGAATGAGATTCAAGAGGAAGAAGACAAGTTATAAGAGAAGGATGGTGAGTAGTTGATCTAAAAGGGAGAGGAAGCTGAAATGCTGTTTAACTAAGAAAAAATTCTACTTCTCTTATTAGAATCTCTTCTTCTTTGTCCTTTACCTTGTCTCCTCGGGGATGAAGAAAGAGGAGCCATCAACACAGGAGGTCATCCCTGAGTGTGCTCTCCCTAATCTGAGAATAGACTTCATACTCCTTTCCTCCAGCTCCCAGAGAAAAATCTATTATTGCAGGACTTGCCACACGATGGTGAAATTGGCTCCTTCTCATGGAAATGGATTAGTCCACCCAGGCATGGAACCAACTTATTCATATTATACTTCAGGGCTAAGCCCCTAGAATGTTTAAGAAATATTGTATGAAAAGATTGTTCTCTGATAAAACACAGTAAAACAAATAATTTTGCTATTTGCCTGATAGTTTAAAAATCCTTAAAGGAGAAGCCATGTGTAACTTATTTTTTCTATTCCTATGACCATTGAGAGTAAGTGACAGTTCTTGATATGGATAGAGCAAGGAAGATCACAGTTCATGCAGGACCTATATATAGCGATAATACTGGCAATAAGGTATAATGACAAAGTCTATTATTATTGTGGCTTAGCATGTTCTTCCTTTGCTGGGATGAGGTTTGAAGTTGGCTGAGAGGTCATTGCTACCTGGAGATCCCCAGTGAGCTGAAGCACTTGTAATAAGAAGCACTGAGAGCTTCTTGTTATAAACGAGTTGTGAGGGAACCCTCTCCTTGGTAGCATCAGAACACAATGGCAAGTGGGGGCCCTGCTAAAGCTACACAGCTATCAACACCAAAATTCATTCTGATTTGAGAGATTTTTATCTTACACTGGCTCAATTTTTTTTTTCTTTCAGCTTCCCTGACAAGTTATCATATAATAGTTATGGTTGGAACAAGACTCCTGTAAGCAAGTTGTTAGCCAAAACAATAATAACAACGAAGAAACCTCTCAAGGTGGCTCATTGTTCTTAATACGGCACATCTCATATAGATCTTATTTCAATTGATTTAAAAGAAATAGAGGAAGTAAGATGAGTACAAACTAGATAACATCTTAATCACTGTCTCCACCATTTCATCCTGACCCCGATACCTCTGCATCATCTTCCTGCTGGGTGCCCTCCTATTGTGCATTCCTGTATTCTTCTTTTTATTATTACTTGGCGACCTCTGTTCTGCTCAGAATGGCATGTGAAATGACTGCTTGTGGAACTGTTCTCCATTGTTAAGGAGACAATAAAAGGATGTCTGATAAGCATCTTACGACAGACTTTTCTCCAGCTGAAGCATATTGGCAGCACAGTTTTCCAAATTTGCATTCTACCTGGGCTCCACAGAGCTAGCTGAGACTCTTTGCCAAGGGAGGACATTGTTCCTTAATTTCTAGAGACCACAAGCACTTACCGGATTGTGGAAGATATTGTCTTAGAGCTGGCTAATTCTCACACTATGAACTGGCAACTAAAGTCCCTGGTTGTTCAAAAGACTTTAGAACATCCTTGATGTTTCAGAAAACCTGTTCGATTGAGAAGCATGTGAGCAGGTATAATGTAGTCTGTGTTCAAGAAGGTGTAGATTTAAATATGGTAGTCCCCCCTTATCTGTGGGGGGATATGTTCCAGGACCCCCGCTGAGTACCTAAAACCTTGGGTAGTTTCAAAGCCTATGCATTCTATATTTTTTTCCTATACATACTTATTTATAATAAAGTTGAATTTATAAATTAGGCACAAAAAAACTTTAGCAACAACTAATAGTAAAATAGAAAAATTATAACAAATTACAAGGGTTGTTTGAACCAAGCGCTGTGTTATCAAGACAGTTGTTCTGATGACCAAGATAGCTACTAAGTGACTAATGGGTGGGGAGTGAATAGAATGTGGAGACACTGGACAAAGGGGTGATTCAGGTCCCAGGCAAGATGGAGCAAGATGGTGCGAGATTTCATCACACTACCCAGAAAGGTGCGTAATGTAAAACTTATAAATTGTTTATTTCTGGAATTTTCCATTTAATATTTTTGGACTGATGTTGACCTTGGGTAACTGAAACCACGGAAAGCAAAACTGCAGATGGGAGGGGGGACTATTATAAACATGTGGAAAAATCCAGATTATGTTTTAAATAGTAGAATGAAAATGGTGTTTTGCTTTATGGAACATTCACAAAAGGAGGAGAGGAATATTTCAGGCTCTGATGTAATAGCTGTTTTTCTTCTACTGGAGGTTTTCAGCAGAGGCTCAATGCTCATTTTCATGAACATTCTAGAAGGTTATGTTTATGTGGGTTGGAAACTACACTAGATGAATATTTAATGCCATCTCCAAACCCAAATTTTTCCTATGACTTCTTTAAATAAGAGCATTCTTATATATTTAACATATAATTTGATTAAGAAAATTTCAAGATATCTGTCAATTTGTAGAAATGTTTGTTGGTTGAAACAAAACTCTTGTCTAGGATCAACCGTATTTATTATGTGTGTGCAATGTATAAGGCACAATACTAAGCATTTTGGATAGTAGGAAACTAAAGACATTTCTGACAGCCTCAATAGAAATATCTATTGAAGAAACAAGTTATAGGTAGCTTGAAAATTAATTTTTAAATGCCAAACTTTTTGCAGGTGACGTTTGGGTTCAGATCATGGAGAGAACATTCTAGGCTTGATGGTGAGGAAATTTTCATTAAAGACGTGGAATTTAAACTCTCCTTTTTAGTTAAAAATCGCATGATATCACTTATATGTGGAATATAAACCTAAAAGCAACAAATAAACAGGACAAACAGAGACTCAGGGACATGGACAATGGACTAGTGGTTACTAGAGGGTAGGGAGTGGGGGAGGAGGTAAGAGGTAGACAGGGTAAAGGAGGTCAAATATAGAGGATTTAGGGGAGGGTGAAGTGAGTAAAGGGTTCAAATATACGGTAGCTGAAGGAAACTGGACTCTTGGTGGTAATCACACAATAGAATATATAGATGTCAAATTATAATATACACCCCAAAATTATATAATTGTATTAACCAATGTTATCCTAAGAAACTTTAAAAAAAAAAAAACTGTCCTTTTTGAAGAAATTTTTTACCTATGTGTTTCCACTGCTTTCATTTAATCGTGTATATGTTGTTATTCAGAAATCAGCCCAGAATAATAGTTCTTTTTCTTGCTTTCTATGTCTCTCAGAAGACCTGAAAAGTAAGCAGAAACATGGAAATTAAGCCAGGAGCAGATCTGTAGGATAGCTAGAATTTAGAAAGATAAACATGAAGGGGGAAAGACAATGTCGTTTATTAACAACCCATATCTTCAAGAATCTTGGTAATGATTTAGCATCTTGGTTTCATTTATTCAGTTTAAACTTAAGTGTTTTCAACATAACAGTCAGCAACATAAGAAGAAATAGCTGAAGGCAAATTAATGCCTCAGAAACTCTAGGTCAATATTATCAAAGGGTCAATGACTGCAACATTTCGAAATTGTTGAGAATAACCACTGTGTTTCCTTTTAACGCAAAGTGAATAATAAGGGAAAATTTCAAAGATGGGACTGCATTTTGTAACATTTGGTAAACATAAAGCTCCTCCACTTTCTGTTCACCATATGTACCATATTTTCTATTAACATAAAATTCCAGCGACCCTTAAATAATTCAGATTCAATGACAAAACATGACTAAAATTCTGTTAAAATTAAATAGATGAACAACATTCTATTTAGTCTCTTACTTTGAAAGTAAAATAGCTTCTCTAGGCCACTCATATACATATTTGGTAGAATTTCTTATTCTTGAAAACATTTTAATAATATAAAGTATTATTTAAGACTCAAATATTTATTATGGACTAGTTTTATAATAGAATAATAGTTTTTGCTTGACCTATTATTTATTTTAAACTTTTTGTTAGAATTGATAAGATGAGCTTTCTCACTTAATTTCTTAAGTAATTGAGTTTCAATAGCTTTTTTTGTCCTGATGTTTTGGACAAGGCAGAAGAAAGCAAAATCAATGGACAAGAAGCATGCAACTTAATCCACTTGGGGAAAATTAAACAATTTACAATTATTTGTAGAGCATGTACTCAGCCTGGTGCTAATTACTCTTTTGTATATAAAGAAGTGATTATTGGTCCAGAT